TGCAGATAAACTAGTCTGAGCTTCTACTCTTTTTATAATATTTTTAATAGTAAATTTATACTTTATGTAAAAATTTTCAAATAAATATTCAATAAAGATAGAGGCATGGCCTCACTATTAATATTAAAAAAAAAAAAAAAACATATCAAAAAATTATAAATAATCAAAGGCCTTCTGAACTGACTAAGAAGTGATATCAAATCTTAGAATCTGTTAATATCTCTAATCAGATTTCAGAAAATAACCAGAAATCTTTACAGCTAGTAAGTACTAAGCATAATATCTCTTCTACTAATATACAAGAAGATGAGATTATTCATATAGAGCATTCTGAAAATGATAAAAATAGTGCAAATTCTTATATAAGGCTAAATACAATAACTAGTAAACAAAAAGATAAGGTTAGTCAAAAACAAAAGATTAGTATAATGGCAAAAGATGAATCTTCTTCAGTAGCAAAAATAGAATAACCAATTCTTCTAAAGATAATATATCTAGATAGGAATTTAATATTGAAAAATTAATAAATAATACTAAAATATTAGCTTCTATTCTTTCATCTTTGTTTTAGTAAGTTGAAAACATCTTTTTGCAAGAACCTTATCTGTATTTAGAGCTATATAAAGCCACTCTTTAGTTTTTATAAGTTACTTTTCAAGCTTTTCATACTTTTTTTAAATTATTCTTACTAGTCAGGCTAGAGGAAATTTGGACTGAATCATTCAAGAAGGATTTCTGAGAGACTACCTTTTGCTTCTCTTTTGGCAAATCCTTAGCTACTGGAGTCTTGCTAAAAGTTGGAATAGAGTAAGTTTTTCTATATAACTTCATTCAAAATTAATTTTTATTTGGATCAAGAATATCTTGAACTTTTTAAATCTATGTCATATCTAAACATAACATTGGTTTGGGTTCATCATTATTAATATGAGCAAAATTTCTAGTAGATATAACAATTTTATCATTTTTGTTCTTTATACTAATTGGCATATCTATATACTATCCTAATAATTTAAATATATATTTGAAATTACTCTTTATAGCAAAGTCAGAAGGCTTACTAGCTTTCCACCCTAGGACATTAATTGTTGCATTATTTACTTCTCCGAATTCACTTATGCTATCTAAAAAGAAATTAATAATCAATAGATCATTTATATTACAATGCAAGTATTGCAATGATAAAAACTATTCATTTGATTTTGATTATTTTTTTAGACTATATAAGACTAACATATTTTATGTATTGCTAGTGAAAACTTTGGTAATAATTCATTATATGTTTTAGGCTAATAAGTTCTGGAAGCATTTTTTCATTTACCGGTACCTGTTTTTTTTTTCTGACTGAGATGGAGCATGCCATCTATTATCTTCCTTATTATATTTACCTTTACTATCTTTATTATTATCTGAATTAGGAGATGCATATTGGGATTGAGAAAGTATTAGAGGTGGAAAGTATCAATGCATTAAATTTGATTTAGCTACAAGGTTTTTGAATTGATTTTCAAACATCATCTTTCCAAATTGAAATGTTATTTGACTGATTTTATCTACTTTTGATTCTATTCTATCTATTCTAGCATTCTGATTTGATGAATATATTTATTTCAGATAAGGTTTTTGAAAAAGCTTTATAGGATAATTTCTTTTTAAATCTTCTGTACTAAATATATCTAAATTATTTAAGTATTTTGATAAGTAATAATTTCTCATACCTTTTTTTGTTTGTAATGAAAATAGTAAACCTTTTGGCTGTCTAACTGGTTCAACAGTTTGAGAAGCAGTTTGCTTAGCTATTTGAGATTCTAATTCTGTAACTTTCTTTACTAATGTCTGGTTTTTAGTTTTTTGTTGCACTAGTGCATTCTGGATTGTTTTTTGCATATCTTCTAAAGAAATTCCTTGCTGTTGAAAAGCTAAAATGGGTAAGAATTCATATATTTCTCAAAATGCTCATTAAAATACTAGCAGATCAGGTATTTTATCTCTTTTATGTTTAGCAATTCGTCATAACTTTATTTCATAAAGCTTTTTAGCTAATTTATCTAATAGCAAATGTTCACTGATATTCTCAGCTTTTTAAACTATAAAATAGAAAGGGTATCCAAAAACTTATTATATAATTCTTTAGGCCTATAGTTAGCTCATCTATCTATTTGTACCAATTTTCTATATAATTCATCTATAGTTATATATTTTTTTAATTGTTCCATATTGCAAATTCTGAAGCTTTTTTTCTACTATAGGAAAATATGTTTTTAGCCACTATATGGCTTGACTGAAATAAATGCTAGCTATAACTACTGTAGTACTATTATTAGCATTTGGTATATTAATAGCAATGTTAGTAGAACAACTACCTGTTATATGCCAATTTTCATCCCAAAGACCCTTTATAGCTCTTAATTTGACTATTGCATTACCAGGTTGGCTGAGTGTCTCATTCAATGCTTAATTTCCTATTTGAACTACTGTTTTCCCATTTACAGCTACTAAGTTGGCCTGTTCTGTATTATCAAGTAAGTTTGCTAATTTCCAATTCTGTTTTGTAGTAATCTTTTTATTAAACTATTCTAAAGCTCTTTCTTTTATACATTTTCTTAAATATTCTATAGCTACTTCTCTTTCTGTTAGTAGACCTTCTGCATTATCTGCTAGATTTACTTCTTGGTTTTGCAAATATAATCTAAGTTTTGCAAGGAAATCTGATATATCTTTACTTCAGCCAAAAAATAGTTGCAGTATTTCTGCTATTTCTATTCATTGTATATTAGATGGATTTTTTTGTAGCACAAAATTTTGTTGATTTAAAATTAAAATATTTTTGTATTCTGTATAAGTCTTATTTTTTTATTTCTTATATTATTTATATAACCTATCTTTATTATATTCTAGCAAAGCTTTATTGGCTTTGCATCATTGTAGATAGCAGGCATTTCACTAATATAATAACTAAAAAGCAAAATTTTTACATAGCAATGCACCAATATAGGTTTGCTTTATTGTTATATTATTTATCATTCTGTTTACTTGATTTTGAGCATTAGTTTATAACTGATGAAATTCAAGCAATGCTTAGTCTTGCTCCTGCTTTTATATATCATAATTCTATTGTTTGTTCACTAGATCTAATTGCAGATTAGTATATTTATGTCGAATTGCTTTTGTTGATTTTTTAATTTGATTTGTTAAAATGGTTTTACATATAGTTATATTATTTAAGAATCAGTTTATACTATTAGCCAATTCAGCTATTGTACCTATATTATTAAAATTATACAGGTCTAAAGAATTTTCATTAGAATTATATTTATTTTTACCAAAATTCCATGTTTGTGCATTTTGTAAAGCCTCTTATATATTTTTAAGCTTTAATCTATCTCAATATCTTAATAATACTAATGCAAAATTTTGACAAAGCAGGTCTATAATATGGTTTTTTTGCTAATTTATTTTATTAATACTATTTATTTGATTAACTTTTATTGTATTTATTTCTTGTTTAAGCATTTATTTTCATCTACTAATCTGGTTGTATAATCTTGTGCTTTAGGTGTATTTCTAGTTGATTTAGATATCTCTCATATTTGGGTTTTTAATTTTGGTTCACATTTATTGAATTCTAATATTAATCTATCTTTATTAGAAATTTCTTTGTCTTTTCTTTTATTTTCTTTCTTGAATTGGTAAATAATATTCTAAAATTTTGAAATTTCTTTTATTAATTCTTCTTTCTCTTGTATAGAGAGTTCAATAGCATTATTTAACTCTTCTTCAAGAAATCATATTCTTTCTTCCCATATACCTATAACTCTTTTTAAGATATATAGACATTGTTCAAAATTCCTATTTGATTCTGCTAATTGCAATACTACTTCATAGAGTTCTTGGTTAGATTGTTGTAACTTCTTTATATTCTTTATTATTATAATAAAACAAAAGAATGAAGAAACCTATAATTTATATTAACCTACAGAGGGCTCATGATTTGGATAAGAAAATTGTTAAAGCTAAAAGAATAAAACAGCCCATAATAAATATTAGTTCTCAGAGAGCTTGTAATTTGAATAAAAAGATTGTTTTGCAGAAATTATATTACCAACCTAAAGGTTATTACCAAAATGCTAAAAGATTGCAAAATGCTTGTATAAAGACCAGATACAACTTTCTACTTACTACAATAAAAAAATAGCTTAAGTCTCAGAAGATGCATCAAATTTATTAACCTTTATCAAAGAATACACCTTATGCTAGTTATTCTAGAACCTTAAAACCTAATTGTATTCATCAGTATAATTTAATTAAGATATTATATGATAAAAATGAGTATATAAATTTATTAAATAAAGATAATAAAAATCACTAAACTCTTTCTAACAATCACTTGTATCAAATTTTTGCTGCAAACATTTGATTCTTATTTAATATTTTATTAAATAAACTGCTTTTGAACATCTAAATAAAGTTGTTCCTAACACAATTTTATATTTAGGTGGCCAAGTTTTATATCTTTAAGTTCCTTTTCAACAGAGATATATTTAACAAACTAAAAAACACTTATATTCAAGTTATCTCAATATTTTACTAGGTTAACTGCTCTGGTAACTTAGAACAAACTGAAAAAGCTTATTATCAGCTTCATTTTGATATATAAATTATTAAAAACGGTTTAAAATTAACTGATTTATCAAAAAATTTCTTTAAACTCTCTTGCAAAACTTTGTATTTTATTTTTATGATTTTTTTTTATTTTTTTGGGGGGCTGTCTCTGGTCTGTCTCATCCCAACTTGCCCAAACAGGATTACAAATCAATATTACACTATCTGAACTAATCTGTACTGTTTACAAATTTGTATTCTTATAATTTTATACAACTTTTTGTTTAACATCAATCTTGACTTACAGATTTGCAAGTGTTACATACTTTGTGTAATTCTTATTTGGCATATTCTGTGTTTGTCACATCTTCTTATTTGTCACATCCTGTTATTTGTCACACCTCTTATATATTTGCTTTTAGTCTTGTTTAAAATTTAGGATCAGCAAAAAGAGTTTGCATATAGCTGTATTAGTAGACAAAAAATATATTTAAGATTAACATTCTTTGAAAGAAAATATTAAGTGCTATAACACCTTCTAAGTGAATATGAATACTATAAATATGGAGTTTAAGATGATTATAAATTATAATTATTGTTTCTTTATAAAAGTAAAAAAGTTAGACCAATAGTAAGTGAAGAAATTATTGTTACAAAAGAAAAGATTAGTTTTGTTGAAAATTTTTTTTTAGTAATGCTAACAATAAATATATTATTATTAAAACAATAATTTGTTAAGCTTTTTTTTTTGTTAGTTCATTAAAGCTTTTAATATTATGTGTAGCAATAATTAAATTAATATATTAAGAACTTGAGTCAGAAAGATATAAAAAAAAGTTATAGTTAATAGAAGTTAAGGAATAATTGTTAAGAAAAGAATCAAATTAAATAGAAGTAAAGCTAAAAGAGTTGAATTTAAGAGAAAGATTATAAAATAAAAGAAGAAGATAAAGAGAAATAATAATATGATCAGGTAAAAAAAAGTTATTAAAAAGGTAAATATGAGTTTTATAATAAGATGTGTTAACAAAAAATGTAATACTAGATACAGTTTTGTTATTATTATATTTGTCAATATGTTGAATTAGAGTTTAAATAGTTTGATCATAAAGAAGTAGTAAATTATAGTAAAAAAGAAATTTGTTAATATATATATAAATTCAAAAAAGACTAAAGATGTTAAAAATGATCTTACAAAATTGTTTTCTACAGAGTTGATTACTATATTTTTAGCTCTTACAGCTATGCAAGATACTATAGTCTGCTTTGTATATTGGATCTAAATGTCATTATTCTGGCTTTCTACATTGTTACTGGCAAAAATTTCATGACAGCTCATGTGGCACAATACATTGCCAAGTGCTAATCAGGACCCAGGATCAATTATGCATGATCAACCCTATAATAGTAAAACATATATAATTATTCTCCCAACATCCAAACAATCCCAGCAAGATGAATATGACCAAATCAGAAAAGCATTTGATCAAGGATGCAATGTTTCAGAGTAGTTGGATCTAAATATTAAGAGAATGAATTAGTATAGTTGTAATAAAAGTAAAATCAACAGAATTAAATACTTATCCAGTTTAGATAAAACTCATGATGATATAACTGCATAAAGGTGAAATAGTAAAAAAATAGGAAGGAAAGCTAAAATTAAATAGAATTTGTTAGTAAATATAAAATAATATAAAAAGAAAATAAAAAATTTAATAAAAGTACTAATTTTGATTACACTTCAAGTAGTAGAGAAAAGGTTGAAGTCATAATAATAAAATTAATATTGATCAAATCTTTATTCACACCTTGAAGTCTTATTATCTTGAATCTATAATGTTATACAAGGTCTTGTTTATTGAAGCAACAAACTCACCATTTACCTATCGCAATATAAATAAACTTGTCTATTTGCTTACTTATATTATTTTTCTTATTAACTATAATAGTTGTATCTTTTAATAAAATAGTGACTGCCCTTGTACAGCAGTTAGAGCTAAGCATATAGTGATTGATCCTGTAGAAGACAATTTCAAAAGATCATTCTCAACATCTTTAAGCCTCTATGATCTTCATACATGTTTCAACAAATTCCTTCTTTATTACAACTTACCACTTCTTCC